TACCCTGTTCCTGTTGATTACTCTTGTTTTCCCTTATTTGTATTCCTGGTTCACTTGTGTTTTTGTGTGAACTTCTGTATATAAGGTTAGTTTAGGTTGTTGGGTACACTTTACACATTTAGTTGATTTTGTATTAGTAACACTAGTTTAGTATGGGTGAGTGCCATTTGTCTTGTATGGTTTTGGGAAGTCAGTTCAGGTTAGCTAGGGTGTTGAAAACACCAAAGACCGTGTGAATTATCCTAAATGTTACACCCCTAGACACGTGGGGTCGTAACACTCACCAAACTATATAACGCAATTAGAAGATAAGGTATTTGAGATAGATGTAAAAGAAAAACTACATTTGCTATAGTTTATTTTCAGAAAAAGTGAACATGCATTATATATAAGGCGCTCTTAAATAATTTCTGTATGTAGCATCTAGCAAAAGTATTCAGCCTCTTCCGATGATGTTCCATTTTGTTAAATTTCAGATGATGCAAACTCTTTTCTAAGTGTATTTTTTTAAATCCAAGCTTGAATGTTCAACCTGAATACTTTTATGGATGAGATATGTTAAATTCTATAAGATACGGAAGAATTCACCTCTCTTCATCACTCTGCGTCAATAAGCCAACCTTTGGCAGCAATTACAGTCAATTCTAAACATACTGTATCTGAAACCCAGAAAACACCAAAACGTTTTTCTCGTTTACTTTCTTAGTTTAATGATTATATGAATTAGTAAGTGGCATAGGCCTGTGACAATTGTATTCAAACCTGACTTATCATTGGGTGAAAAAAATAAATAAAAATAAGGACTCAAAATAAAATAAACAATAGATTATCAGTCACCAAAGCCTACAATCTTCAACAACATTAGCAATTTAGCTGATGTAGCACTGTTTAATTACATTAGAGTGAATTGCTGTCGTGGTGTGAACTGCAAGGAACTAGTAGAGGTTAATTCCACACTGATAAGTAAACAGAAAAAAAAAAGAAGAAAAAACATGGTGTTTCACTTGTGAGGCCTTCTTTCGGTTGTTTCTTTAAGTTTAAATGTAAAATGTTACTGTAAATGCAGCACACGTGATGAGACCCCAGATTCAAATGGCTATTTCTGGCAGCATTGCAGAGTGCCCAAACAACATTAAGAGGAGTCAGACACACCAGACAGAAAGGTGGTCTCCCTGACATGTGGATTTTGAATGTTCTTGAAAGCTCTAAACTGCTACATGCCGGTTACACATCTACAGCCATGCTACATAAATACATTATCTGTCGTTACAATTCATTCTTCTTGATTTAAGACACGTCACGTCGTCTGGTTTACTCAGTAGCTCAACTGTAGCAGTGCTATACCTTAACAATTAAAGCATCTGCTGTAATCATAGATTTATACATTCAAATTATTATTGTCCTCCTATCTACAGAAATTCATTCAACTGGAACAGATTAGTCTATTTCGCTTTGACAAATTCTAAAATATAAAGGTATTAGCAGCCAGAAGTAGAAAACAAAATATTATGTAAATATAATGTAATTTGCTTTTCTGGACACTACACTCTAAGAACTTTACAGGTAATGGGGACTCCCCTCCACAACCACAAATGTGCAGCATCCACCTGGATAAGTTTTGCAATGGCAACCAAAGTGTGCCAGTACGCTCTCCACACACCAGCTGTCAGTGTGGAGGAGAACAGAGTGATGAAGCCAGTTTAGAGATGGGGATTATTAGGAGGTCAAGATTTGTAGAAGCCAAGGTAAAATTTGGACAGGAAACCCCTACTCTTTTCAAGAAACACCGTGGGATTTTTAATGACTACAGAGAGTTTACATCTTATTCGAAGCACGGTGCCTTTTTACAGTATAGTGTCCCCGTCACAATACTGGGACATGAGGACCCACACAAACCACAGGGTGAGTGCCCCCTACTGGCTCCACTAACACCACTAACACCTGCTTAGCTTCAGTGGGTTGCCAGTTGTGAGTTGAAGGGTTTTATAGCTACTGCTGATATGCTGATATGAATGTACAAAACTATGAGACAAATTGCTAATTATTTTAATGTAGTAGAGTAGAGTAGCTTATTGCCATATGTACATGTACATTGGAATTCTTAATGGAGCTGATCACTCGGGACATACACAGTACAACAGACAACACTACACAATGTAGACAACAGGAACAGTAAATATATCGTGGGAAAATAAATAAATAAGTGGTAGTGAGACAGAGAGAAAATAATGGGTAGACTATGTAAAAAATGCGTAGTGTAGATGTGTATTGAGTGTGAGGCCCTGCAGTTAGTCGTTTTTGAGGATGAGTACTGCAGTGGGATAGAAGCTGTTCTTGAGTCTAGTGGTCCTTGCTTTAACAGTGCGGTACCTCTTGCCAGAGGGGAGGGGGGAGAACAGTTTGTGGCTGGGATGGTTGGTATCCTGAATGATGGATTGGGCTTTATTGCAACAGCGAATGGTGTGGATCTCACTGACTGATGGTAAATTGCCTCCTATGATCCTCTGTGCCGACACAGTGATGCCACTAGTGAGGACACTTTCTATGGTGCTGCGGTAAAAGTTCATGAGGAACTGCTTCCCCAAACTGCATTTCTTGAAGCACCGCAGAAAGTGCCAGCGCTGTTGTGCCTTTTTCAGATTAGCTAAGGTGTTGCGAGTCCAAGCCAGGTCGGTGGAGATCTGCAGGCCGAGGAACCTGAAGCAGCTGACAGTTTCCACTGCTGTGCCATTGATGCTGATTGGGGTGTGACTGCCTCTGGGTCTCCTGAACTCCGCAATGAGTTGTCTTGTTGACATTCAGGGCCAGATTGTTGTCAAGGCACCATCTTGTGAGATGCTCCACCTCACTCATGTATGTGGACTCATCGTTGTTGTTGATCAGCCCAATAGTAGTGGTGTCATCTGCAAACTAATGGTGTGGTTGCTGCTGTAAGCGGCTGTACAGTTGTAGGCGAACAAGGAGTATAGCCTAGGACTGAGACAGCAGCCTTGTGGGACTCCAGTGCTTAGGATCGCTGTAGAGGAGATGATATTGTTGCCAATTTTCACCACCTGAGATCTGCCCATCCAGAATACAGTATCCAGTTGCAGATAGAGTTGCATAAGCACAGATTCCTGAGTTTTGGGACCAGCTTGGGGAAACAATTGTGTTGAAGGCCGAGCTGTAATCAATAAACAGCATCTTAACATAGGTACCCCGTCTGTCTAAATGTAGCTGGCAAAAGAAAGACTGGGTGCTTTAAATTTTAAACTTTTCCAGAAATAAGACAATGTGATAAGCCCGATAATATAAAGTCACTGTAAGATAACTAACTGGGTGACACTGCTACCATTGTTATAGATTTTTATTCACTTTCTGGTCTTTAAGACATTATTTCTATTCTCAGTGATTCTGACACATTTGAAGCATATTCAGAGACCAGCAGAGACAGGCTATTAATAATCATTACATGTTCAGTAAACGATAGACAGTGAAGAATTGGGCTAATATGATTGCAATGACTACACATTACACAAGAGGGCAGCATTGCTACCTGGATGTCTATTTTCTAAAGTGCTCTGCAGTTCAATGCAATGGGGGAATATTACAATGATTTTAATTTAATTTTGAATATTTAATATAATGTAATACAATGAAAAAACACTTTATTTTTTTACCTGTGTTGTCCAAAGAAGATAATTCTTAATATCTGAGGATTAATGAACACTTAACTCTTTCATTACATTTGTAAGAATGACAAATTGCTGCTGTGCTTAATGAAACTGAAACTGTGTACAGTGTCTACAGTGTTTATCTGCTACATAGTTTCCTGACAGAAATGGGTAAATGAGGAAGTCAGAGAAGTTTAAACAGTCTATGGCCATAATGTAAATCATCCTCCCTGATCTGTGTCATTATTCATGATATGCAGCAGCATATCACCCTGCAACTCACAACTGGCAACCCACTGAAGCTAAGCAGGTGTGAGCCTGGTCAGTACCTGGATGGGAGACCTCCTGGGAAAAACTAAGGTTGCTGCTGGAAGAGGTGTTAGTGGGGCCAGCAGGTCCATGAGGGTCCTAATGCCTCAGAATAGTGATGGGGACACTATACTATAAACAGACGCCATCCCTCGGATGAGATGTAAAACTGAGGTCCTGACTCTCTGTGGTCATTAAAAATCCCAGGGCGTTTCTCAAAAGAGTAGGGGTGTAACCCTGGTGTCATGGCCAAATTTCCCATTGGCCCTTACCAATCATGGCCTCCTAATAATCCCCATCTTTGAATTGGCTTCATTACTCTCTGCTCTCCTCCCCACTGATAGCTGATGTGGGGTGAGCGTTCTGGCGCAGTCGGATGCTGCACATTGGTGGTGGTGGAGGGAAGCCCCCATTACCTGTAAAGCGCTTTGAGTGGAGTGTCCAGTAAAGTGCTATATAAGTGTAAGCAATTATTATTCTGCAAGCCAACTGCTTGTTGGTGAAGGGGGGGGGGTTGGGGTTGTACTGCCAGTACATGGGCCCCAACTTTCTCAGAACTCTCTAGAAGGTGTGTAATCTTGCAGAAAAAGATGGTTTGTTCAGCTTCTCATTAGTATTGAGTGTAGGGCTATGAAATATACTGCAGAGTGAGGTTTTCTCTTCTCACAATTCTGCTACAGTGGCTAGAAATATAACCATGTTACAGGAACTTTCTTTCTGGGAAAAAAAATCAGAATGAAATTATACACATTTTTATACATGATTTTAACTGTTGAAACATTTTATTCCCCTTTCTTGTATTTACTGTTAAAAAAAATAAAAAATAAGATCTAACAACAAGAAGTTATCCTGAAATGCCCACTTTTCTCTTATTCCAGTAGTTATTCCACTGAAATATTAGGCTCCTGTGGGTCTTTCTTTGAGTGACAAGTTCAGTATAAAAAGAAAATGAGAAAAAAGAAAAAATACAAGAAGAAAAAACAAGAAACACAGGCCATTTGCTTGCGTTAAACTAACAGTAGTAACACCTTTCAAAGCATACATGAAAAGTAAGATACACTGATTAATGCAGAAGACTAAAATGTGGATGTACTGCTCTGCATACATTATGTCAGTTCCTGGGGGTGGGGTTTCAGTCTCACCCAGCCACAAGGGGAGATGCTATTGGTTAAACATTCTAAGTAAGGCGTGTCCACTCCAGACACACCCTGCAAGTGTCCAATAGAGAAGCATTGAGAACCAGCTCAAGGAAGGGGGTGAGGTCAAGGGTCAATCTCCTCAGGAATGATGGTGAGGATGGTGTCCTCGTTGCCTCGCCTCACCACCAGCCGCAGCGTGCTGTCTCTCTTGATGGCATCGCTTACATCGCTGGCCGAGGAGATCCTCTGGCCATTGATGCTGATAATGACATCATGCTCCTTCAGGCCACCGCTGGGACAGGGAAAAGAACAGTGAGATCACTGTCTGAGGATTAATACCATTCAGTTGTGAATAATAGAGAGGAAAAAACAATTGAATGGAAACACAAATTAAAAATGCTCAGATTTTTTAGGCATTCAGGTCCTCCATCTTGACGTTTTAACTCTAAATTACAATACATACTTTTCAGTTTGTTTGCTTGTTTCAGTTGTACTCCTCAGTGCGGTGGCTTTACATATTTTTTAATGTGGAAATAATTTCTGACGTCACATGGGAAAATAAGACTGTTTTTTCTTTTTTAATCCACATGCACAGTATCTTGAACTGTGTGCATTAGGGCTCACTTCTTACTGTGCCATGTAACCATTATGGAAGAGAGGCTGCTGCACTACAGCTCTAGGACACAGACACTTGCAGGCCATTACAAGGAAAGCTATCTATGGCTGAACGGTTATTAGTAAGAATTCTAGCTGGGCATTCTGAGATGTAATGCTAAACCTTGCAGGACAAAGATAAACATAACAGTCCCTTCAAAAAACATGGGAAGTAATAGACTTGGCACCCAACAACCTAACCTCTCTTCCACATTCTAAAGATGCCAATCTGCTTTAGTGTTTGAAAGGCAAACATTACACAAGCTTTATTTTAAACCTCAAGAAATCACAGCTAGCCCAGGCCATTAATCAGGCTCAGATCTCACTCTTATGGGCACCGAAAAAAGACCAGTCATCATTTTAATCATGGGGAAAGTGCCACCTCAGCCCAAACAGTATTTGGCTCACTGGAGCAAAAAAAAAAAAATTCGGAGGCAGGACAGTTTTAAATGGTGAACATCAGTACTAATCTACAGAGGATCTATGTACAGTACATTTATTTAATTAGCGTAATGCCTGAATTATTTCTAATGCATACCTTGGATTTTAAATTATGATAAAGGGAAGCAGCCTGTGCTGCAATCAGGCAGTTCCAGCAGAAGGGAGGATTGCTTCCATTCCTAATTCTGCTTCAGGTATTCTGTCCTTCAAGCCAGTGCCGGCATCAGCCAGGATCACCACAAGGAGTTTTACAGTTTTTTTTAGAGCTTGTTAAATATTCGACCTGAATAAAACTGGCAGCTGAACATAACAGGCAAAGCACAATGCAACAGAAACTGCTACATCTACTGTTTATTTGTACATATTGTATAGATCTATATTTATAACTCTGTCTTGGTGGGGTGCTAGTATATCAAAAGGTTTTTATAGACTTCATGCATTTGCAGAGCTGGGCTGTTTTTTCCAGGTGCTGAGTTAAGATTCTGACCCCTGGGAGTGACACCCTGATCATGATCCCTGTCTTTGACCTTTGAATCCCAACTCCTGCTGTCCCTGCTGCAGCCGACAAGTCAAAGTGCAGCCTACATGTGAAGTCAAACAAGCAAAGTTCTAAAACTATCGAAGCAGAAATCCTGAATATTTTACCCGTGAGATACAGTGTATAACGCATGATTTTAAAGGTTCATCGTATAATATCTAGATCACAACAGCTGTGTAATCACGAAGCCCTTGCAAAAACGCTGCACCACAAACCGATTCCCAACAGGTTAATGCAAATTTAAAATGAATTCCAATATCTGAAGCACAGTCCAGTGGTGCACAGTGTGTAATCTGGCAACAGTTTTTAAGTAAGAAATCAGAACTGATTGCATCTTTCCTACAGTGTTGCAGTTTGTGTAAGCACATTAAATAGAACAACCAGGGCAATTTGATTTTACCTTCCTTCACTTGAAACCTAAGACACCTGAAGAAGGCTCCACGGCCGAAACGTTGTGTTCTCTTTCTTCTTTTTTTCAGCATGGAATAAACCTATTACTTGTTCCTAAGAAAAACACTGCTGCAAACAAAGCCGTGGTTTGTTTCCTGCAGGACTCTTTGGCCAGATCTCAGTTTTCTCTCTACTTACACTGCAGCTGGTGTTTTGGCAATTACTTCAATGACATAGGCCCCAGAGGTGACATCTGGGAAGTCCTTCTGACGCTCCTTCAGGTCCTTAGCAAGCCTGGGAGAGAGAGTCACAGCACAGTGAGACAGGCAGCTACAGCACAAACAGACAGACACAGAAATGTGAGACAGGCAGCTACAACACACACAGGTACAGCACAGTGGGACCGGCAGCAGTGACACACAGATACAGTGCAGGACGACAGCAATGCAGGCAGCAGCACAGAGCTGGTTGTATCAAAATCCTCGGATGAAAAGGAAGGTTTGGTATGCGACCAGCCCCTCCATTTCTGCTCAAAATCATGAATCCGAATATTGCAAATATAGTACGAGTTTTGCCCTTCAAGTACTCAATGAATTCGCTTTCAGGAAGTATTTTAATTTTAAATGTAACACATGGTCCATGGAAGTATACAGTACAGAATAGCAGAATGAGCTTGTATTAAATGGTAACTTACGAAGGAGTAAGAGACATCATTCTTACACCGATATACTTCTTCTTTGGGGCTGTCTTCCCTATAGTTAAAAAAAGTTATTCCATCAGCTTTTAAAAGTACATGCAAATACTGTGCAATAACCTGAAGCCTTTATGTCCTTAATTTTGTCCTCTTTCTAAACATTAATTTTTTCTTAGTATATCGGAGGAAATTGAGCAGAACAACATGCCTGTTCAATGCCTCATAGTATACAGTACTTAAGGATGAGCACCAATGCATTACATATAAAAAAATATGAATGAAAATGTGCATTGTAACACATTATGTACCAAAAAAGCCAATATTAACATAAAAATGCGCGGTCTGGAATCTGTCAAACACTTAGCATTTTATATTATAATAGAGTGTCAGTTATTATAACTGAGTATCATCGGTCCAACCGGGCAGACTGAGAGTAATAGCCTTACCTTTTGCCTGTCTGTCATGGGATTCTGCCAGGAACTGACGAATCTTGTCAGAAGGAATTGCAAAGGAGATGCCTGCTGTCACTTTCAGAGTGTTGATTCCAATGACCTCTCCATCCTAGAAAATAAATATACATGCTTTAAAGCCTATGCTGTCATCGGCTAGCCTTCGTAAAACACATACAAGCAAATGTAAAGTGCCTGAGAGGAAAAGGAACTGTTAGTGGAGTACGCTGCTGCCAACATGTTTTTTCACGTTTGATTTAAAGTCTAAAGTACCACATTTTCTTCATTGTGGCAAGCATCTGTAAACCGGGGTTGCAACAATCTATAGCATGGACTAGATTTTCCTTACTTTCTTACATGACACCATATCATTATACCACCAGTTGCATCCCAGAACATTTTAGGATTTAGGATTATAATACATTTTACAATTATTTACCCACTTCTGTGGCTTTATTAACAAGCCAACAAAACAAAAGCTCAGCTGTTTCCCTTCAAAGGCTCCACCTGTGCAGGAACACTGCCCCCTCCTGGTTAACTCACACCTGCCCATCCCTAAAACTGTCTTGATTGTCTGAAGCAGTAGAACACACTGTGAACCCACTCAGGCCACAAGACGCAGTTCTACTGATATGTTTTTCAGTCAGAAAGACTAATTTCATCTGGCATTGCTTATTTGCTTGATGATCTTCTCGGTACTGTTATAGGACCTGGTAATGCCTGTGTTATAGTTTACTTGTTCATCTCATAAAAAGGAAAGGAATTCTTACCAGATTTACTAGAGGCCCTCCTGAATTTCCATACTGAAAGAAAAAACACTTCATATTAGTTCCAGAATAAGACAAATATAATTTTGTAAGTCTTTCAAAATGCAAAGCAGCATGACATCACAGGCCCTCACAGCTCAAGATGTGAATGAAACCAGATGAAGATACAGAATAGAGTGTTTGAGCTCTGTAGTGACTGTAGCTGGCAAATGCAACCTGGTGTTTGTGGAATAACAGTAAAGATGAAAATCTCCCAGAATATAAGAACAGTTCCAAGCGAGAGGAGGCTGAACAGACTCCTGCAACACTCTGGGAGAAGAAGTGCATCCTGTGGGAAATTCACTTCCACATATGTTCAGCTGTTCATCATGAAGACGTCTGCTGGGTTGAGCAGCCAGTTCCTCAGGGTGTGTCCTGTGCCTCTTTCTGCAGGGGTGGGTACTCACGTTGATGATGGCGTCGGTCTGGATATAGTCCATGTCGGAGTTGCGCAGGCCCAGCTCCTTGCCCCCTCGCTGAGTGGTGCTGACGATGCCCGTGGTCACAGTGTTTTGCAGAGAGAAAGGGCTGCCGATGGCCACCACGAACTCCCCAGGTCGCAGGTCTGCCGAGCGCCCCAGCAGCAGGACGGGCAGCTTCATCTGTGGGAAACACAGAGGGAGCAAGATCATTTCTTGGCGATTTTGTATTTTTACCATTTTTAATCCTCTACGTTCACCAAAGATGGACCTTTTCTGTACATTGTTGCATTGTGTTTTACCATGTCTTCACTGCTTATTGCTAAGCATTATTTTAGCATATAACATGCCTTTCATTACTCAGGATAAACCTCAAATTCATGACCTGCTGGCACATGTCATAGAGATAAATCTTTTTGGTTCTTCTGTCTCTGACTGCACACAAGCCCAGTTTCATATACTAATAATATACAGTTGTTATAGTTAAGGCAAACCACCTTCTGTACAGGAGCAAAGCAAGTGAAGACCAGGTAGGCAGCAGGATTACAAAGGAAAGCCAGTTAACACACAGCAATGTCATAGGACAACATTGGGAAAACTAGTGGGGAAGCCAGAAGGCCATATTCTATTCAACAAAGTTAATGTAGGAACCCCACACTTAAATGAATAGTCTCCCAGAGGAGCAGGCAAATTGTGGTTAGCTAGAGGAGCATGAAACACACTTCTGTCACCTTTCTCTGGCCAAAACAATCCCCAGATCCCAAACAACTGGTGGAAAGTGACCTTCAGTTCCATGTACCATCGCCTTTATCACATTCTCAATTGAAGGTGCTTCTGCTTGAAAAATTGGATGGGATTAGGTCGTATCTGCTAGTGAGTATATTAATAGCATTATGTCTGCATATGAAACATTCTGTATTATATTCTACAATAAAATGTTCTATTGTAAGCAGAAGCAAATGAATTTAAGTTAAAACATCCCTGTATCTTTTAAGTGCTAAAGATTTAAAGTAAAGCAACATGTCGTATAAAAAGAAGATAATAATCTAAACTGGCACTACCGCCCTCCAAAAACACGCTCACCCTTACACCCAAGCCAGATATGCAGCAAGGAGACATGGATCCAATATACCTACAGCAAGGTTCTATATCAAGACAGGTATTAAGGACTGTAATTACATTTTTGTATTTTTGTCTAAACTATATCTGTAAAAATAGAAAACCGTAAATGCACAGCGTAACAGGAGTAGTTAGCAAGTCTCTGAACCCACAGAGGTAAAAGGGCTTACTCTGCAAACATGTGCCCTGAAAACGTACCAAAGTAAATTCACATGTACTGTCCAGCTGCACAAAGTGGATGAAGACTTGTCTAGTTCATCCATATATCAAAGATTTGTGGCTTTGGCTACATTAAAATGATCAAGTGTTTTAACACATTTTGGGGTCTTCATTAAAAACAAGAGTTTACCTTGGAAAACATAAGACTCAAATGGCCAAATAACTTTTTTATTACCTGGAAACATTGAAAAACTGGATTTTCTTCATATGTTTGGTTTGCATGACCAGTGAGAGCTGGCACAGCCTCGGCAGTGCTAAAACGCTGTTCTGTGCCGCACGCTGAGTGCTGGCGCAGAGCAGCAGCTCCGGGGGAAGGCTTACACACTGGGCAGGGCTCACAGTGCTACTGCAGACTGTCTGCTGTGGTTGTTCAGTGAAAGTACCGTGGCAAGGCAGCGGCTGAGGTTCGACCACGACCTTGACAAACTCCAGCCTTGTGCTACTCATGGGTGGTCTGCACTCAGCAGCTCCCTGTGATCAGTCCACAGCCCTCATTGGACTCTGTGACACAGGGCCCGCACTCTTATGATTCTGATTTGGGGCACCCTTGTTGTGAAAGGCGCTTTATAAAAATAAATTGAATTGAATTGATTTCATCCCTCTAATGTAACTGCATTCCTAGTGTAACGTACGAGGGTGCGACTACAGTAGCAATAACAATACCACTACCAATAACCTTTATTGATTCTCTAATCTTTATTACTTCTCAGATACTACTCACCCATCAACCATCTACTCACACTGGGCATAGAAAAGCTGGCTTGCATTCAGAGTCTGCTATTATAAATAGTACAAGACAGAACATGGAGAAGCCTAAGGGTAGGAGGGGAGAGGAGACTTTCAGTTTAGGAATTCATACCTTCAACAGGAATAGCGTATGTCATCCCTACCAGTAAGTAAATTAACAGATGAGGTGGAAGGGAAGAAAAAACAATTTCTTAGAAGAAGTCATCTTGGAGGTGGAGAAGAGCTTTGCAAAGCAAGCTCTACACAACCAGAGGTGGATGCCGGTGTACAAGTCAGATACTTTGGTTTTTGTATTTTCGCAATGTGTTACACTGTATAACAGGTCTTCAATCGTCTCAGGGTTCATAAATAAAATCATAAATTTGTTTTCCAATGTTGACTGTTTCTTCTCCCATATTCCAGGAAATTAGAAACTGTAGTTCTCATAATCCTGATTCTCTCTGGGCGCATCTCCTAAATTCACATGCTCGCTTCATAGAAAATTTGATGTTAGCGATGTTTATTTTTCCGCTTTGTGAATTGATATAAATACTCACTGATATTCTGAATCCTTGGTTTCAGAATGGTTTAATAATGGGCACTAACCCTTACATTTAATTGGCCATAATATTAAATTGCAAGGGAGAAGTAGTGAAAGCCTCTTAACAATCCATAACACTGCGGAAATGTGTTACAAAAAAGCACTGATTAAATGTAACTAAAGGTTAAGCAAGTTAAATATAGAGAAGGGCATTATGGAGGCTATTATTTATTTGGCAAAACTGAATAAACTAGAAAGAGTGTGCGTGGTAGCATTCTTGGCTTGTTGTGAAAATACTGCCCTTTTCAAAATTCATTGAATGGACAGTGAGGCTTTGTCAATGTTTTCATGAAAGAATCAAGCAAATCTGCTGTCTCAGCCACACCTGCTGCCTCTGCTTCCCTGGCTGGTGACTCACAGAAATTTGACTCTTTAACCCCAGATCTGCTGGGGAGGAGAGAGCTGTGGACTTGTATAGTCTATCTCAGAAGTGACAATTTATCTATGAAAGCAAGTTTAGATCTGAACAAGCAGTCCCATTATTCAAAGATGAACAACATACAGATTAAACCACAGACCAGTTAATTAAGCTACTCTTAGTCATGTGAATATTCAGAACCTTGCTTTGTATATCATTGTGAACCCCACGTTCCTGTGGTAAAACCATCTTTTAAACCAAGGATATGAGTCATTCCTTTCTCTGGATGTGCTGCACAG